CGCCAGCAACGTCCATTCGTCCCTGTCGCGTGCTAGGAGTGGTCCAGTGGATCCTCCTTGCTCGAGGGACACGAAGTCCATCATTCCTTTCGTTCAGAGCTTTCGTGAAGAAGTCTGACCATCGGGCCGGCGGTCGTCCAGGTGTTCGTTTGACGTCCCGAGGGATCCAGTCGGTAACCGCTCTGGTCCAACGGTCATCGCAAAATCGCATGACGTGTCCGGCCCACCTTATCTTCGATTCCTTGGCGAAAACGGCAGCGTCCCTGATCTTCGATCGTTGGCGTAGTTCGGCACTCCGGATTCCCCTCTGCACTTGCGTGTAGGGTTACTCCTAGCATCGTCCTCTCGACAGCGCGTTGGATAACGCTGACCGCATGCTCGTCCTGCCTGCGCAGAGTCCAAGTCTCTGAGGCGTAGGTTAGGGCAGGAAGGACAGCGGAATCGAAGAGGTGGGCACGGAGCCGGATGTTCTTCGTCTTCTTCACTACTCCCTCGATGTTCTTGTACGCTCCCCAGCCGCTCGTTTCCTCCTGCTCAGCTCTGGAGCTAGATCGTTCATCATATTGATTTCCCGACCTAGGTACACGTAGCTGGAGCATTCGGTGATGTTCGTTCCGTTGAGCGTGAATGGGGCATCAGGAACCAATCCGTTTCTCATAAACATCGTCTTCGTTAGGTTCAGCTGTAGACCAACCTTACCACAGGCGCAGTCGAAATCAGCCAGCATTCGCTCCGCTTGCTCGATGTTCGGCGTTATAAGAACGATGTCGTCAGCAAAACGAAGGTGGTGTAGTTGCCGGCCGTCGACCTTCACTCCCATGTCTTCCCATTCCAGTTGACGCATGACGTTCTCGAGAGCGGCGCTGAAGAGTTTGGGCGAGATGGTGTCGCCCTGTCGAACCCCTCTCTTGACGTCGATGATGACCTCCTTGTAGAATGGTGAGATTCTGGTCGTAAAGTTGCTGTAGAGCTCACGAAGAATCTTGATGTACTGAGTAGGGACGCCCTGGTTGCCCAAGGCTTCGATGACCGCTTCTGTCTCCACAGAGTCGAAGGCCTTCTTCAACAGCTGCTAACCCCATGCTCACTCACTGAAAATCCGCCACTCATGTAGCTATCATGGCCAGGAAGAAGCACTTACCTCGGAAGGCATTCAACTTCCCATGGACCTTCGAATTGACACCCAATTGTGTCGCTGGAGCATCGAATACTGATTACAAATATGGAAGCTAAAACAGCAAAATGAACCTGTCAAGGAAGTTGTAAACAGTCAAAGTTGGCTACAGTAAAGCGCGACATATGAACCGTGCTATACTCCAGGCTTTCTGCGGAGCAGCGATAGTGCCCCCGCTCTCCACCCTGGCAGCCAAGAGTTCTTCCTGTTGAAGTGCGAATTTCGAGAGCTCTTCCACTGCCTCACGGCGACTCTGAAAGCTCGGAAGCTAGCACGGTTAATACGTTAACCTTCACATGGAGTCAACCTTCACTGCTCACAACTTCTGCATTTTAGCGCAGAGGATTGTAATCAGCGTTCTCTAACGATAAATGCCTTTCCTGCTTAGTGGATGTTTAACGTAAGGAGCCGTTAGCCGGAAGGGGCAATGCATGAAGGGCAATGTACGTGTTAGATGCCCCGATCTGCCCAGTTCCATGCCTTATCTCTGAGAATGGTGATAAGATCAGGATGGCACCACGTAGCCTGAGAAAGGCAACGGGGTCGTGAGTGGAGTGGATGATAAAACAGAAATCGGTCGAGATAAGTTGTACGCCACTGTTGGCAGCTCAACATAGTTTTCAATGATACTCACATGGTGAATGGCCGTGGAAGCATGGTTTGGGACCCTCAGTTTATTCTGGCATTCCACGGCAGCAGTCGCCACCTGCATCCGCGGTCGGCGCTCAATTTCGCTATTGATAAAAAAGGTGTTCACTGTGACAAAACCTAGGATACGGACCCGCTTCTCGCCTACCGGCCATGCAAGTGTCACAGTGAATTGAGTACCGAGCTATGGAATGAACTAACCAGGAAGGTCTTGCCAAGCTTTTTGAATACGGTCTTTTGTATGATATATTTGTATGACTCCCAAAAAGCTACGGTAACTCCTGAGCCAGGGGGAGTGTAGCCAGCCTAGGGGGTGGGGGGTGAGGGCAGTCACTTGACATGCGTGAAAAGCTGGAATGTTCGAGTTTACATTAGCTCGCCGAGAAACTGCATCATGATGCCCCCCCCCCCTAACTGAAATAGACCCTTGCTCTGTTTTGGGGGGTCGTGCCAGGATCTCGATTTGGGGGGGTCGTACTTCTGCGACCACGTACTCGACACGATTTTCACCCTGGTCCCTAGTACGATTCCTCGTAGTGACAAATTTTTGCATTTCGAATTGACGTTCCAAAATTCGTGCAAAATGATTAATCAAACCCGTTTTCAAAAAGCTTGTCACGCCTCGAAAGACCTTCCTGGTAAGTACCGGTTGAGTGTAGAAATTCAAACATATTTATAAGCTTTTAAAAAATTGATGCTTCTAACAAGTTTTTTTGAACTTCATAATGTCAAAATGATGTGATTTTAGATTGATGGCGTGTACAAACGTAAATGCGTGGAGGTTGGTAAGAACATGTATGATAATCCGGTCATCGCCTGCTTGACAGCGAATAAAGAGGAGGTACTTTCTTATGTAAATAGATTCCAGTTTGGCTAATGGTAGGCACGACCACGACAAGACTGTTACCGCATCAGTGACTGATAGTGGAAGTGCAACGTTACCCTCGCCTGTACTTCTACAAAATTTCTCATCTGGGCATTTTTTACATACTGCACGTATCTGGCCGTTACAGTGCTGTTGAAGGCAAGAGTCGGAATTAAATTGATTGGTTGATTTTACCCAAATGTGAGAGTAAGGAGGTGGACCGCCAATGGAGAAAAAAGGAAAAATAATGAAATACACAGGAAATACAATCATTTTGCTCTGTCCTGCGAAGAAGTTTAAAGGACTGGCAGGGATATGAGAGATAATGCGAGAGCATCGCAGATCAATGCAGCGACGCAGACAAGAACGGTGGGCGGACCATGTTAAGTTTGGTGGAGTCTGTTAGAAGTCCATGGCGCCTAGGGTCCTAGTGACGCGTTTCGATGTAGAAAGGTGGCGCTACCTTTGCACTTGCGCACCCAGCACTTCTAGCCATAGTAACACTTCTTACAAGGGGGGGGGGGTCTTTCAGGGCAAGGTGCGCTTTTTCAAAACGGTTTTGTGCATATTGTAGGGACGCATGTAGGGAACACAAAACCATGTTTCATTTTCGCTGAACGGTTATAGCAGTACCAAAAAAGAAGCATAAGGTACTGTTAATGGTTCGATCCCCCGTGGCGACTAAATTTTGCATTTGGGTTGGCGCCTACGGTTTGGTGCCAAATCGCGCTAAATATCAAAATCAGATGTCAATTCATCAGGACCATTTTGAAGCCAACAAGTGGCCGCCAACCTTGATTGCAAAATTTAGTCGCCGCGGGGATTCGAACCATCAAGAGTATATTCACCACTTTTTTGGTACTACTAAAACCGTTCAGCGAAACGAAACATGGTTGTGGTCCATACATGCGTCCCTACAATATGCAATAAACCGTTTCCAAAAAGCGCGGCTTGCCCTGAAAGACCTCCCTTGTGAGGTGTATCTGAACCCGAACTCTGCCTTCAAAAGCAGCGTTGAAAAGCGCAAATCTGCTAGCTCCCAACACTTTATATATGAATTTTCTGCTTTGATGCTTCTGAAATGATTATGACATTTTAAAATGCAGCAAGATGCGCAACTCAAAGATTCTCCTCGATAGAAACCCGAAGCGGCCATTCCTTATCGATATCTACAATTTCATTTGTTGTTAGAATACCTCGTCAGAAGGCCTCCAGATTTATTTCTGATTGGGAAATCGTCCACCGCTAAAATGAATCGTCAATGCAAAGTGTTTAATAAGCTGCCTAAAATCAACACACTCCAAAAGTAATCAGTGGATTTCTTCGTAGGCAGTCTGTACGCAGAGAACAGTTGTGCATGGCAACCTTCATCACGGGTTAGGGTCGTATTTGATAGTTCACGAGGCGTCGCTCAATTTTGTGTGGATGGCGTTTCCTAAGTGGGTAGTGCCTCGCAAATATTTCATAAGTTGGCGATAAGACAGCGTAAAGAGCAGAAGAAGTTGATGGAGTTAAACAGCGTTTGAAGGGTACAAAGCATATCCGACATGACCAGAGGCCTGGGCGGTGTGTGTGTCTACGATGGCACGGAT